ATTTTTATTAAATATTAAATTTATAATTTTTTAATAATATTATTTTATAATAACAATAATATTTGTCAAACTATGCAGCAAATGTAACATTTCTTATTTTGTTTTATATTTTTATTCAGTTATAATAATAATAATAATTAGTAGTAGTAGTATTAGTAGTAGTAGTTGTCACACCCATTAGACTGTCTGTGTGTGTTTTCCGTCTCCACGTGCTCCCCCTGACCTAGTTTCCTCGTGTGTGACATGTCCTTATTTGGTGTTCCTGTTTCCTGTTCTCGTTTTGTTCTATTTGATTCAGCTGGTTATCGTTTAGTTCCTTGTTATATAAACCCAGTGTTTCCAGTGTCCTATGTTCGGCATTGAATGTCCTGCTGAGTTCCATAGTGGTATTCCGTTTGTTTCATTAAAGACTGTGACTGAGCAAGTCTCCTCGTTTCCTCGTCTCCCTGCTCCAAGTGAAGTTGTGACAGTAGTAGTATATAGCCATATGATATATAATCGCAACATTTTTGGCCAAACTGTGCAGCCCTACACACAAGCACAGCAAGTCTGAAGGTTTTATATTTAGTTCTTTATTTATTTTAAATAAAATTTTAAAATCACAATTCCAAATTTTATCCCCCCAAAAACACAATTAAAATTCTGCAGTCGTTCTCTTTTATCTTTGTTTTTTGAAAAGCAAGCCCCAAAACTGAATGTATTAATTTTTTTCATTTTGAATGCATTGTCAACAATACAGAGAATGACTTTGGTAGAACACCCATTCTGACAGTAAAAAAACCTGTCACTGTTATCCAGAAATGACAAATTACCAAGATTTCCGAGCTATGAGTGACCTTAATACATCTTTATCCTTTCTGATCCTCCCTCCACTCTCACATTGTATCACAATCTTCTTCCTACATCACTCTTGCAATCTCCTTCGAGTGCCTCTTTCTTCTTTTACCATCTTTCTTACTCTCAGCTAAACACCATCTGGCAGCCTCACCACCAGCATTTTCTCCCCGGAGTTTTAAGGAAAAGAGGGAACCGGAGAAAGTGAGGAAATAAGAGAGCTATCAAGGCGCTAATCTCCACACAATGCGGATAGACAGAGCTGCTTAACGGGATCAAATAGCAGCCAGGAGACACAGCCAGGTGATCATCCACCCCCTCGCTCAAAAACACACATATAAAGACACACAAGTGCCACAAAGAAGAGAGAAGAGAGGGGTTTGGGCAACAGCAAGACCTGGAGAGGACCACCGAAAGAAAACAAACACGGTAGCGTGGGAAAGCAGTAAGACACGACATGAGTGAGTCAAAACAAAAGATGCTGCCCCAGCAGCCTCAATGAAGATGGTGATGAGGAAGTGACGAAGATTGACTAACCAGCCAAACTTTACCCTGAACTTATAATAAAGAACACAGTAAGTAAAATGTTGATGAAAGAGCTTCATTGATATTATCTGTCTACGTTCTTGCAGTCCAACTATTTCTGTCGGGAGTTCTGGACTGTATTTCTAAAGCAGGAGCCAATTGAGACGGTCTCGGGCCTAGCGCACACTGGCTTTGTGTTGGTGCTGAGAGACTGCCACTGTTATCCTGGCACTGCATGCAGCGCGGCCACAGGAAGTAATCAGCAATGCCCAGCGCAGTTCAGAGCCACTGCGCAGCGAGGAGAATTAGATCCATGGAAAAGAGCTCAGCTAAACATCACTCCTGAATAAGAGCCATGAGAATGTAATAACACAGCAACAGTGAGAAACAATGAAGGGAAATCCAGGCAGAATGAGATCAAAACTGAGAAAGAAGATCAACAGATGGAAAACGAAGATGCATTTGAAAGTAAAGAAGATATTCTGGATAAATATAAAACAACAACAACAACAAAAAAACATTAAAATGGACCCTAGTTACTTAAATAAGTAATAATAATAATACTTTTGGAAATTGTATTATTTATACAATTCTTTACTTTGAATAAAATAGACATTAATGTTCATGTTTATTTTGTGTAATTCATCAGTGTACAGGTGCATCTCAATAAATTAGAATGTCGTGGAAAAGTTCACATGACAAGCATGACGCGTCGCCATGGAAACAATAAGGCGATACATTTTAAAATAACGGTCGCCTAAAAAAACTCACGCTGGGGGCTCAGCTAGAATATTTTAAACTCACGTGCGAAAGGATTAAAAGCGCCGTGCGCATTTTACTTTATGTGATTATTATTATTTTTTTATTATTATTGCAGAATAGAACATGGTCAACATGTGTGACACAACTTAACTATATACAAAACCAGGGTTTGTATAAAAAAATATAATGAATAACAATAATAAATAAATAATAATAGATAGGTAAAAATAAATAAAATGGGGAGAAGGAGGGGGGAGGGAGGTTGAGGTTGAGATTTCAATTGCTCCTTCTTCCTGGACTTATAGAGCAAGCAGTACAGCTGCTCTAATGAGATATTATATGGGATATTTTCCTAATAAATTCTGCCCATGCCTTAAGTGTTTTTGGTTTGGCTTTATTAATTCTCGCTGTTGTGCATTCTAACAATGCAATATTTTTGCCTTCGCTTTTAAATAGCTTAAAAGCGCCGTGCGCATTTTACTTTCACTTTTGAATTAGCAGCAATTCGGCGTAAAGCAATTGTTCGTTTTTAGTACTTTTGAATTTCCCCTCTTTTCCTCGCTTTCCGTCGCTTTTAAATAGCTGAACCCTTTGACGCGTACTATCACACCGGTGTGATTAGAACTTTCAGTGCGTCACGTCATCAACTGCTGAATTTAAATTCGCTTTTGCGCTTTGCCTGGCGCAGAGCCAGATCGGACGCGCTGAGCGCTTGTCATATTATTACTAATATTCATTGTTATCAACCATATAATACTTATTTTAGGTTTCAGACATTTAAATACACATAAGTACTAGCAAAACCATACATTTACAGTTTGTAAAATGCACGCTGATGTCTATGGAAACGGCAACAATGATCCTTACAAATATAATTTGACGACATGTTTTTATTGATATCATAGGCCTATACAGATTGTGTGGATAACTATAAAGTTTACTCTGCTCTTCTCCATTATTATTATTTTTTTATTATTATTGCAGAATAGAACATGGTCAACATGTGTGACACAACTTAACTATATACAAAACCAGGGTTTGTATAAAAAAATATAATGAATAACAATAATAAATAAATAATAATAGATAGGTAAAAATAAATAAAATGGGGAGAAGGAGGGGGGAGGGAGATTGAGTAGATAGCACCAGCACGGATCTAAGATTCCAATTGCTCCTTCTTCCTGGACTTATAGAGCAAGCAGTACAGCTGCTCTAATGAGATATTATATGGGAGATTTTCCTAATAAATTCTGCCCATGCCTTAAGTGTTTTTGGTTTGGCTCTATTCATTCTCGCTGTTGTGCATTCTAACAATGCAATATTTTGGAGTTCTATAAGCCACATTTTAAATGCTGGGAATGTGGGTTCGTGCCAGATTTTAAAAATTATCTTTTTGGCCGCAGTTAGAGCAGCGTGGAGGATCCTTCGCTGGTTAACATTCAGATTGAGCTCAGCATCATCATTCAACAGACAAAGACTGGGATGTTTAAAGGGGTCATATGATGTTGCTAAAAAGAACATTATTTTGTGTATTTGGTGTAATGAAATGTGTTTATTTATGCACCAAGAGCTTGTAACACTCCAAAGAGAAAGGAAAAATTGAAATCGCATCATATGACCCCTTTAAAGATAACCACGTCACACAGGTCTGTCAAGACTTGAAAAACCTTATCCCAAAATTGACCTACTTTTACTTTTGAATTAGCGGCAGGTCGGCGTCAATTGCTTGAATGCAACAACAAAATACAATGTTAAAAACTCACTTTAGCCTATATATAAAACAGAGAACTTTTATTAACAAAACAAATACACCATGATATAGGGCAAGCTATGCCTAATATAAAATAACAAATAACTTACATAAAGTTTAATAGGCAGGGCTGTACGTTAACTTTTTTTTCACATAGCACTGGTGCTACAGAGGTTGACAGTTTTGTAGCACAGGCCAAAAATTTGTAGCACAAGTATAAAACGTCTGTTATCATGTCTGAAAACAAACACAAGTAATGGAGTTCATC